ATCATCACATTTCAATGAATCTAGAATTATGCAGAGACCCAATTAGTTTTTGGTAAATATTTGTGCATATTAATCACCTAATTTGCATAATTAACCAATTTCCAACTGTCACACTGATATCTCAGGTACTAATGATCACATATCAATGAATGTTTATACATGGATGCTGTAGGACAATTGACAGACCTGGATAATTGTGGGTTAAAATCTGTACATATTAATTACCCAATTTGCATAATTAACCAATTTTAAGCTTTCACACTGATATCTAAAGTACTAATTTCCATTTTAATGAAACTTAGTACAAAGATGCTCTAGGACAATGTACAAACCTAATTAGTTTGGGGTAAAACTCTGTTCATATTATTTCCCTAATTAACATAATAATTCATAATTTTTTGGTTCTAATCACATTTCAATTAAACTTGGTACATAGAGTTTTTGTTACATTGCGCAGACCTCATTAGTTTTTTGCAATCAAATCTGTTCATGTTAATTTTCTGATTTGCATAATTAGTTTTCAGCTAAGTAATTTCAAATTATATTTAATGTGTCTCCAATACTCTCAGCACATGGGAGTTCTTTCTAAGCTTTCTTTGATTTATTTTGATTTGCTTTATTATTTAAGAATAATTTTTTTTTTAGTTTACAGTTTTTAAATTTCTTTTTGTAAGACTTTTTAGCTCCGCTGTTGACATTGTCAAGCGGAGCTTGTCATATGAATGATTGTCCGTCGTTGGTGTCCGTCTGCACAAAATTATTGTTAAAAACCGCAAGCCCAAATGCTGTATCACGTATAATATAGGTACTACATGTGGACCTCTCTCAGATTTGTTCATTTTGAATGATATCTTTAATTCTCGAATTTTGGTGAATATTTTTGTCATTTTTGGTAAAAAGTGATATTTTCGACTTCTTGTTGAAAACCGCAAGTTTGATTTCTTTTATATTACATATATACGTACTACGTGTGGACTTCTTTCAGATTTTTCCCGTTGCTTTTTCTATATATATTGTTCATTTTCTAATGATATCTTCAGTTCTTTAATTGTAATGTGCATTGCTAACAGCGGAGCTATCTCAGCCGAGAGGCTGCTTGTTTTATTCTTTCCCAAGGATTTTATGCATCTTAAAAATATTACTATATTACTATTACTTCACCATAATCTACCCTATTAATTAATCCACCACCAAATCTGTGATGTCACTGTCGATTATATAATGAACTTGACTGCCACCTACATAGTGAGTGACTGCAACAGACGTGACACATGCCTGCTATGTACATGATGGTGATAATTTCATACATGACGCATGCCTGCTATCTACATGATGGTGATAATTTAGTACATGACACATGCCTGCTATGTACATGATGGTGATAATTTCATACATGACGCATGCCTGCTATGTACGTGATGGTGATAATTTCATACATGATACATGCCTGCTATCTACATGATGGTGATAATTTAGTACATGACACATGCCTGCTATGTACGTGATGGTGATAATTCCATACATGACACATGCCTGCTATGTACGTGATGGTGATAATTTCATACATGACGCATGCCTGCTATGTACGTGATGGTGATAATTTCATACATGACACATGCCTGCTATGTACGTGATAGTGATAATTCCATACATGACACATGCCTGCTATGTACGTGATGGTGATAATTTCATACATGACACATGCCTGCTATGTACGTGATGGTGATAATTTCATACATGACACATGCCTGCTATCTACATGATGGTGATAATTTAGTACATGACACATGCCTGCTATGTACGTGATGGTGATAATTTCATACATGACGCATGCCTGCTATGTACGTGATGGTGATAATTCCATACATGACACATGCCTGCTATGTACGTGATGGTGATAATTTCATACATGACACATGCCTGCTATGTACGTGATGGTGATAATTTCATACATGACACATGCCTGCTATGTACGTGATGGTGATAATTTCATATATGATGCATGCCTGCTATGTACATGATGGTGATAATTCCATACATGACACATGCCTGCTATGTACGTGATGGTGATAATTTCATACATGATGCATGCCTGCTATGTACGTGATGGTGATAATTTCATACATGACGCATGCCTGCTATGTACATGATGGTGATAATTTCGTACATGACACATGCCTGCTATATACGTGATAGTGATAATTTCATACATGATGCATGCCTGCTATGTACGTGATGGTGATAATTTCATACATGATGCATGCCTGCTATGTATGTGATGGTGATAATTTCATACATGACACATGCCTGCTATGTATGTGGCAAATGACTACTATAAACATGACAAGTGATAATTCCTACTGTCAGTCGTACAATGTTTTGTGCACGTGATAGAGACAAATTGAAATGAAATTGTTGATAATTTGTGACATTCATGAAACTTCATTTTACCTGCAATATAAAAACACATTTGGCATGATGTCTAACTAAAGTTTCTTACTCATTTCTTGTACAGGTATCTTGTGGAAACTAAAGAAGTAGAGTTGAATGTACGTGATAAATGGGACAGCACACCTTTGTAAGTATATTTGCAGAATACCTGTGGATGGTAAACATTTACTTTTTACCTTCACTCAACTTATTAACACCCGAACTAAAAAATACTTGTTTGTATTACTCATTATTTGGGTTCATCTGTTCATCATCATGCTTATTCCCAGGTAGAATTATGGTGCCAGTGACCAGTATTCCGTAGACCTTGAAACAAAATTTCTCATCTAGGAAAATACCAATTGTACTGTAAATCACTAAGTAACTTCCTAAGATGTATATTAAGTCTTGGAAAGTAATGACATTCTGTTGCAGTCAAACACACAAATGCCCAAAAATAAAAATTGTAGCAGCAAGGAGTCTGTGTCCCAGGGAAGTGAAAAAGCTATTAATAGTACATTGTATGTGGCCAGTTTACCATTTTGAACATTGAACTTGATATCATCAGGATGTTATTCTATGTTTTAGGTACTATGCTTGTTTCTGTGGGCATGAAGAGTTGGTGGATTATTTACTCCAGTGTGGTGAGTAATTCTTAGTAATTTGTAATAAGGCCAATAAAATAAATCGTGTTGTTTGTTATCCTACTTACCTATATTTTTTGACTAAATCAATAAGTTTATCTCATGCAAATGAGGCCAAAATTCTCTGTATGCAAATTGGCTATGGTCATTGTACCACTATGCACAAAACTTGCATTGTGCTAAAATTAAACAAAACACCCTGTTACTTCCTGTTACTTTTAACTCATTACTGGAAACACCAACTTAGTTTATTTGGCCTTATTATAAAAATAACTTTACATATGCATTTTTGAGAATGATGATTTATCAAGAATTGTGTTTATTTTATGATTATGGATTGAATAGTACTTTGTTGTTCTGATGTTTGTAGGTGCCAAGTGTGAACCAAACACTTTTGATGGTGAACGTTGTCTATATGGTGCATTGAGTGACAGTATACGAAATGTCCTAAAAAATTATAAGGCTATAACAGCTCATTGTATGAGACGAGACAGTTACCAAGAGTTTCTTAGAAGGTATGTAATGTTTGTGGTATCGGTGGTCATGATTATCTGTTTACTATACCATGTTGCCTGTACTGTAGAAATAAATAACTGTATGTAAATGCACGCTTCTACTTATTTGTTGAGCTGGGTTGGGAAAGAGTTCCTTTTGTACATGCCCTTCCTAAGGACATCTATAGTTATCTAGAGGGGGCATATACAAATGAATTGGGTAACTGGGAGTTAGGTTTAGGGATTGGGGTACAAAAGAAACTCTTGCTCTGGGTTGATACTTGGGCATCATGGGCTAGTATTATCCGCTTACCTTCATTTTGTGGATATTTACTTACCGGTAAACCCATGATGTCACTTGTATCAACCAACTCCGCATAAAAATAATATCATATGATAATCTTAACAAAGGTCTAATTGAGGATGAAATGCATTTTCTGCTGGAATGCAACAAATATAATGAGTTGCGTGCCAAACTGTTCAATAAAGCATTTGATCCCAGCATTTGAAAATAAACCTGCAGAGAAAAAATTCATGGAATTGTTACAGAATGAAAACATTATTATACCAGTAGCACAGTTCATAAGTAAAAGCTTTGAAGTCAGAAAGCAGGGTCTTACTTGACATCTTAACGTAGCGGGACTATTATTTGCATACTTGTTTTCATCTTCTAATTGTGACTGAATGACTACAAATAGACCCGGGAAAGTATATATTTTTAGAATCGCCAGACTTCAAGCTCTTCACAAG